AACATCTCATCTCATGAAAGTGATTTTTTTTTTTTTAAATTTGGCCTTATGATCTTTGCATATTAGCCATGACGAATCTCTTATAGATGTTGTTCAAATTGGGTGTTATCGGGAAAAAAAGGGCCAGAGGCGACGGTGGGAATCGAACCCACTCTCACGCCTCTGGCCCTTTTTTCCCGATAACCCCCAATTTGAACAACATATATAAGAGATTCGTCATGGCTAATATGCAAAGATCATAAGGCCAAATTAAAAAAAATAAAATTAAAAAAAATTAAAAAAAACATTTCATCACTTTCATCCGTCATTATTTTTTTATATTTTATTTTAAACAAAAGTAATTAATATTATAATTTATATATATATATATTTATAATTATTCAGAAATCGTGAGATGCGGTCTGGTGTGGTGTACTGTGTCATACATCACACCAGACCGCATCTCACGATTTCTAAATAATTATCGATTAACGGTCACTAATCACCACACATATATTTATAATTTATAATTTCAAAACTACTTCTTCGACAATATTTTTTGTTTAATTTGTAATTTTTATATTATGCATTTATGTGGCTTTTTCACTTGGGGGTCCACGGGTCAATAAAGTTTGGGAACCACTAGTTTAGAACCATAATTATGATTAGTCATTGTCTATAAATGATCTTATATACAGACAACAATTTTAAAATACGTTAATAAGCAAGTAAGTAGGTAAGTACAAAAATAAGAAATCGAAGAAATTAGGTATACTATATAGAATACACATATAAATAAAGATGGGTTTTGCTGGAAGATAAAAAAGCTAGTTATTTAAATGAAGACAATCCGTAAGTCTAATTTTAAGAGTTAACTAACTTAAATTGATCGCTATATAAGTAGGCTTACAATAATATACAGGATGTGCAATCTTGAAGATGTCAAATTGGAGTAAAAGTCGGAAATGTTTAAAGCCTGTTTCTCAGCTGTAATGTAGATATTTCATTTTCAGTTACTTCAACCAATTACAACTTTTTAGATAATAAGTACAATAGTGTTGTAAAGTGGTTTGATCCCTCCCTAGTTCTCAATATCCAAGGGACCGTTGGACGTTATGTCCTTTTTTTTTTTTTTTTTTGTTTTGGGTTTACTACTAGGAGAACAACATGAATACATTTCTGAGACAACCGATGTTCGACTTCCTTTTTGGCCTTGCAGCAAGCTTTTCTGGCTGGAAGGCTAATTGTTCGCTGATTTTCTTGATTTGGTAAATAGTGGCAAATGTAGTGCTAACAAAAAGGTTCACCTTCTAATGACCTTTAAACAAATGTACTTAATATCCCCAAGTTCACCTTTCACCGGTATAAGATTGACGTTTAATTGCAAAACAAATTTCTGTTGTTTTCGTAACTTCTATTCATCGTTATTTATTTATTTTTTACGAGGGTTCGCAACATTAGAGGTCATATAAAACGTCAGGGTATCGGTGTTTAAAAAAAAAAGCGCATTTGTAAGTATGTCGGCCCTGTATTCGAACCCGGAACTTTCACCTTACAGTGATTAACCCCTAAACCGTTGCGGCCACGGACGCCCCTCTATTCATCGTTATTGTTGTCTTCTTTTTCGTTTTATAGTTGACAAAATTTCTTTTTGGTAGTCATTTTTTATTGAAAATGAAGATTTTCCGATGTTCCGGCGATCCTGTCCTATGTCAAGACAGATATTTGATTTCTTAACATTGTAAAGCATAGTTAAAAACTAGTGCAACAAAAGCTGGAAAAACTAAAATTAATAAATAAAATAATTATAATGCCCCCAACAGGGCAGCTAAATTTTTCATTTATAGTTTTTTTTACTAAAAAAAGTGGAAGTAAAACAAAGTAAACAACAAAGGCCCCTTGATTATTCAGAAATCAAGAGATGCGGTCTGGTGTGATATATGTTTCAGAAAAACATTTTCTTGTCGTGCCAACGTTTCGATATTTAATGAGATCATCTTCAGGGCTCAAAGTGTTTGTTTTCTGGGTAATTGTGCCATTCTTCCGTGTCGTGTTGAGAGTGTCCACGACACGGAAGAAAGGCATAATTACGCAGAAAACAAACACTTTGAGCCCTGAAGATGATCTCAATAAAGATCAAAACGTTGGCACGATAAACAAAATGTTTTTCTGAAACCTACATCACACCAGACCGCATCTCACGATTTCCGAATAACCATCGACTAACGGTCACAAATCACCACACAAAAGGCCCCTTGGTTCAAAATTGAACGTTCAAATTCAAATTTAGTTAGTTGTTCCAAATATCTACCTTTCTTCACCTGGCCTGGCATTTGGCAAATTTTGTTTAATTTTGAGAATCTTAGTTTCTTATTAAGTTCATTTTTGTAGAAAAGGATTTTTTTTTTCATTTTTCATTGAAATACTTTAGGTGGTCGGTAAAAGATAGATCATTCTTCTTACTTAGTCGCCTTCCGTCTTCATCATTCCATGAACAAACGTGGTTTCCGTGTCCTCTAGTGCTATTGAATAAAAAGTTTGTTTACGTGCGTTCCTAGATGTGCCACTGACTTTTGGTAGGGTCTTGCACCAGGCATTATCAAACTGACCGCTGTTTCATAGTGAGGAGAGACATCGAGTTTAGGGAAGTCAGCGTCCTGCAAGGCGGCATTCTTGGTTCCATCCTTTTATCCTATTATACTGTTCTCCTACCTACACATCTAGTAAGCCTATCCTGACCCATGCAGTCGATGCCCCACACAAATTTAAAGAAACAACTTAATCAAAGTATTGGACAACTACGAAGAATTCTAGGATCAATCAGTCCTGACCATCAATATTAAACTAAACGTATGCAAGACTTTTCTGTGGCCGCTTTGTGCATTAACCAACCGCTGTTTCAGAGTGTGCCAACCTTATTACGTCACTGACCTCACTATCCACATCGACCACAGCATTCCTTTTGTCAACGAACTAATCTGTTACCAATTCCACAACTTTCATATCAACATCTCGATTCACCTTTCTGCTCGAGCCATCCCTACGAATTCTCATCCCGAGAACAGGTCAACGTTGACTGATACCTTCTTGCCGTATCATCCCACACCCTTAGTGCAAACATTATCATGTATCCTCCGGGTCCTGGGTTATCATTAGTGGTGTGACCTTCGATCAGCAAGAGTAATTTAGCTGCAGCTTTCCCAGGAGAATTACTCGTTCTTAAGACATTTAATGAATAGTCCATCGGGATGATTAGCATATTTGTATAGAAAACTATTATTTATTTATTTAAAACCTCAGTTATTTAGCAGAGTACATTTCATTTGGTAAAATTAACTAAATTAAACTAAATTAAAACGCTTTCGAGGATTAAGAATAAATCCGACACGGAGCTAGGCCGATTGTTCTCGCTTCAAATCTGTTCCGAGACATGCTTAATGGACGTTGATTGACGATCCTGGATAATTGCAAAGGAAGGGACGTCCTATTTTCAACCAGCGGAAAATCATGTCACTCACTACATTGTATTCCACCCCAATGAATTTCAATTCAAAAATCTTGATGCATTTATCTTAATAACTATCAACATTGAGATTAACAGTCGTAATTAAACCGCAGGGGAATTTATTCGTAAGAAAATAGGCTGACCAAACACTATCTAGTCACGTCTGTAAAAGCTTCTAAAGGATTAAAGAATATCTTCACTGGATTTCCAATTAAACTGGATTTCGAGCGTTCAAAGTTTATTATGGTTCTTGTAAAATAATTTTATAACTGACTGTTAGTTTCGAATCAAGCTAGAAAATTTTTAATATGCTTTGTATGAAAAAATGTACAAAAATATGAAAATTTTTTGGAAGGTTGAAAGGGGAGAACTAATGATTAACTAACTAGTAAGGTAAATTGGTCTACGTTTTTAGATAATTTTAAAATTTCACAACCCTACGCAATGTTGGCTTTCAAAGAAATATGAAATCTTCTGTGAAAAACTTAATTGTGTCAATTTGTAGATATATTTAAAGATTGTTTTACTCTGGCCTGGCAGTAACAACTGAATTTGCTTTTCATACATTTTTATCATTTTTAATTTTTATTATTTTTCAATTAATTAAGGTTTTTAGTTGAGATAAAAAAGTCAATGTCACGAGCGGGATTCGAACCCACGATCTCCGGCTAGATACGCCGCTGCTCTACCACTTGAACAATCATGACCTCGATCCATCCAGGCACTAACTTCCGACTCAACCCCACCTTTTGAATTTTCCCTTTTTTGCAATTTTTCAAATGTCTTGTAATCTATTTGATTCTCGGCGACAAATGAAATGGCCACGGAGAGATTTAGTGAAGATATACTTCATTTTAACTTATTAAATTCACTAGTTTTCGTGGTCCGCTTGACAAATTAATATCTTTTTATTAATTAAAGTTTTTAGTTGAGATAAAAAAGTCAAAAAAAGGGAGAGTCACGATAGCTCAAGTGGTAGAGTAGCGGTGTATCTAGCCGAAGGTCGTGGGTTCGAATCCCGCTCGTGACATTGACTTTTTTATCTCAACTAAAACTTTAATTAATTGGTCAAGCGGACTACGAAAACTAGTGAATTTTTATTATTATTTTTCATATTTTTATAATTATTCATAAAATGAAAATTTCTATTCTTCTCATGATATTTAGATACTAGGAAGAAAAACAAAGAACACTTTATTTTTTTATTATTTCGTTTTTTCAATGAAAATAAACGCACTATATTTTTTTACTTTTCTTTACTTCATGATTCATTTTGTAAAGTTTATTGAAAATATGAGCATAAAGTATTAGTGAGCGCTTCGACAAATCTTCATGCATGGTACCTAACAAGACTCGTGTGATTATTCATCTGTGTCGATTGTTCCCAAGCAATTTCCCGTGTTATGATCATAAGGGAATTTATGCCAGACAACGGAGTCTCTTCTGCATTATTCATATGCAACTATTACCGTCCTTATTTCGCTTTCGCGTATTATATTTTTTTAATGATATATACCTGTTTTACAATATGAAATCCGTACCGGGTGGCCAAGAGCTGTGCTTCCTGTCTTCCACCTAGAATCGTAGCTACCCAGACATCCTCTTGATTTTTTGAGCTCGCCATGCCAGTAACGACGACGAGAATGGCAGTTAGATGAAAAATCATTGTAGAATTTGTCAACGTTTCTATTCTGTAAGCAATAGTCATTAATTAATATCATTATAAACATGTTTTTCAAAATTAATTATTATATACACTTTCAATTAATTAAGGTTTTTAGTTGAGATAAAAAAGTCAGTGACTCGAGCGGGATGCGAACACACGATCGCCGCTGCTCTACCACTTGAGCTATCGTGGCCTCGATGCACTCGGACACTAAATTCCCATATCAACCTTTTGAATTTTCCCCCATTTTTGCCATTCAAAAGGTGGGGTTGAGATGGGAAGTTAGTGTCCGAGTGGATCGAGGTCACGATAGCTGAAGTGGTAGAGCAGCGGCGTATCTAGCCGAAGATCGTGGGTTCGAATCCCGCTCGTGACATTGACTTTTTTTGTCAACTAAAAACTTTAATTAATTGATAACTACAGAACCTTGATTATGCAAAGTTAAGATATTTTGAATCTAAATTCAAATTTTTTTTAGGGAATTGTCAAAATTTAATTACGTTTTTTCAATACAGATTTTTTACATTATTCTTGCACACCTTAAACGTATTAATTGGTCAAGCGGACCATGAAACTAGTGTATTATGCAATATTCATTCGTTCAAAATTTGCTTAAAATATGAACAATTGCATGAACCTCTGAAAATAAAGCCTGCAAGGCTTCGAAAATCAAAAACCAAATTTCCTTCTAGGGNCACATCCTAAATGTATTTGTTAAATGTTAACATTGTTTGTAAATCCCAGGCCCTGAAGATGATCTCAATAAAAATCGAAACGTTGGCACGATAAAAAAAATGTTTTTCTGAAACATAAATACATAACACCAGACCGCAACTCACGATATCTGAATTACTATCGATTAACGGTCACTAATCTCTACACGTTTGTAAAATTCTTTATACACCAGAAATGTTGGCAGTGCAATTGGATCATCACAATAAGCTTAACCAGTTATGGACGCTATAGATCAAGGGACCAGCAAACAGAGAACCATGATTAGTGCAGATTCAGAAATTCCTTGTAAGATTCCGTCACAAATTTCGTCCTATCCTTTGACTGAAATTGACATTATGGAACAATTTCAATAAAACCTTCTCATAGTTATGCATATGAACCCGTCAAATAAACACCCATTCTCACGACGTAGTGTCTACAACTTTAAAAAAAATTGTGGACTATAAAATGCTTATCCGTCAAATCTGGTTATATGGATTGCAAATATGGTAAAAAAAAATATCCCAACGTTTTTTCCACGCGATACCAATGGCCAGTCCAACTTCACCTCATAAAAAGAAAACGAAAAATCCAAAAGAACCTGACTGAAATTTTCGGCTGAAACCAAAATTATCTGCTGGCTTGTACCACACTACATTGTGATTTTCAACTTTGATGTATGTCTGTATCTATTTATTACAATTATGTTGATGAAATTTTCTTTTTAAAACATATGGATCACGCTTATGCGTGCTGTATATTATATATACACTATGACCCATAGTTACAGTGCTCAGTACAATATGTTTTAATATATTCTATTGATTTAAAACCCAAACAATTATTATTATTTTCAAGACGGAACTGTATACATAAAAACACGACTCTTTAAAAATGGAATTTTAAAGTTTTGGCATTTAGTAACTATTCAATTTTTGAGTTCTTTTTGTTTTGCTCACATTTCATCAATCGAGTAACTGATGGTTGTTGTTTAAAGTTAGCGTATAAGAAATCAGCATATATTAAATTTTCATATTTTATTTAATACATTTTTATTTTTTTTAATTTTTTTAACCCGGCTTTCACAACTAACTTGATATAATCTTTTTTTAAATGAACCCCGCAGTAAATTTAAAAAATCAAAGAAAGAACGGTTTATACGACCAGTTTTGCAAACTTTTGGAGAATTGCACGTTAAATTTTTAATATTATAGTTTGGTTTATTTTATATTCTGAATTTCTGAGATCTGACCTTTATTAATAGTCTCTTTAAGATTAATTTAAATTTTATTTGTATGGTGATTAGTGACCGTTAGTCGATAATTTATCAGAAATATCTGTTATTAAGTAATCGTGAGATGCGGTCTGGTATGATATAGGTTTCAGAAAAACATTTTCCTTTATCATGCCAACGTTTCGAACTTTATTGAGGTCATCTTCAGGGCCTGCGATTTGCAAACATTGTTTAAATTTAACAAAAACATGTAGGTTGTGGAAAAAAGTGAATTTATACAATGCAAAAAAATATATTTTTTATATTCAATTAAAGTATTTCTACTCACTCAAAGTGTTTGTTTTCTGCGTAAGTGAGATTGCCAATGAGATATTGCTGTTTTGTGTTATATGTCAACACGACATGCAAGAATGGCACACTTACGCAGAAAACAAACACTTTGGGTGAGTAGAAATACTTTGATAGAATATAAAAAATATATTTTTTTGAATTTTATAAATTTACTTTTTTCCACATCCTACATGTATTTGTTAAATTTAAACAATGTAAATCCCAGGCCCTGAAGATGATCTCAATAAAGCTCGAAACGTTGGCACGATAAAGGAAAATGTTTTTCTGAAACCTACATCACACCACGCAGCATCACTATTTCTGAATAGTTAATTTTTATTTATAAAGACAGCATGTCCTCTGCAAAATATTCATTTCCGGGACTTTTATTATACATATGTCATTATGAATAATGTAAAAAATAATGGGTACATCAACCAGGAAATTTCTAATTCCGAATGCATTTGTGAACAATCAAATTTTGTTTATTTTTGTCAATTAGATTTCGTTCGATCCAAAAATGATTACATCGGCATATCACATTACCATCGAAGTGTTTGTACAATTTTGAATAAACACAGACCAAAATGCATAGATTGTTTTGACATATAGGACAAAAAACGAATAGGCAACTTGTTTGTCAAAACGATTTGACCAAAATATGCCCGTATAAGGGTTTTTTTATTTAATGTTATTTTAACTTGAAATTTTCTTTCTTTATGACATTATATTAAGGCGAGAGGTCTTAAAATTTAACAGTCATTAAAACTTATGGGAAACAGTGGATCTTTACAAAAAATGAAACCATGTCTTCAGTCGAAATTGAAACAGATCCCACCTGTTGCACACGCTCAGTGAAAATCACAGGTGTCAATGTTTGCAATACAAAAAACCTTCTTCATATCAGAAGAACGCAACCGATTCAACAGTGATCGCTTCTTACCTTTCAGAGTGATTGTTCCGGGGGAAGACACGGGAAACAATGAGAGAATGGGGTAGTTAGACGTCCCTGCGACTCTGGTGGTTACATGGACAAACTTTAAAAAAAAAGTAATAATAAAGTTCCTTTATGCCAATTAGCAGCTGGCCGTGTTTTGTTTATAGCCGGCGGCGAAATAAGCTAATTGATATATTTCTTTCTTTCAATGGATAATTTTTAATAACAATCAATACGAATTGAAAGCATATTTGATCAAATCTAATTCAGCATAATACTTAGTTCGGTTTCAGAAAATGAAACGAAGAAAAGAAAATGAAAAAAAAAGAAGAAATGATTTGGCGACTAATTTTTGACTCAAAAAAGAATATTGCATGTAAATTTTAAAAAATAATGGCTTTAGCAAGTCTCATGTTTCATCTGCATAGTTCCTTAACTTTTCCTCTGAACCAAAAAAAATTGACTTTTATTATTCAAAAAATACAACTTCAAAATCTCAACTTATTGTTTTATAGGACAATCATCACAATCTGCGAAACAATCAATAGTGTACAGAGCAGAACAAAGAAAGTTACTGTTAACTACAACCTCTAAACTGGTAGCACTCCATATTATTAGACATTCACGTAAATTATGCTTTGTTTAAATTAAGTTGTTTGTCGTTGTTTTGCAAGAGACTGGAGATATTTGGGCCATTGTCTATTTAACCTTCGTGTAGAGTTTAACAGGATTATCCTGGATGAAAGCGGTTAGATTAGTGGATTAAGAATAACTAAGAGAGTTTTGTGGAATTTACGGTATTTAGCCATGATTGTGTCATATATTTAGGCCATGGTTGATTGTTTCATTGGTTACACACAAACGCATATTAAGAATTTTTTGCTAGATATTTGAACTTGATGAACGTTGGAACTTTTAAGCAAGCCACAAAGTTCAAGCTAAAGTAGTTTATAGTATAGTTTTGTTAAGTAGCTTCTCTTCAGTATCATGCTTGACATTTTCTCAAGTAGTCTTGAAAATACTAGTCTGCTGTTTTAGCAAAGAAACTTTTCGTTTGAGTTGCAAGCCTTAGGACAAACAAAGTGACATGCTACAATTCGTACATCCGGTGCATGCTGTTAATAACATATTGTTTATGAATATTTTCAAGATCAGCTATTAATGCGTGTAATCCAAGCTTATCTAACTTCAAACATGGATGACATATGGCTCTCGATGTAAAAAGTGACAGAGTGCAAAATCAGATTAAACAATTCGTAACATTCCTTAATTCATTAGTATGTATTTTGCTGTTCTTTTTACAATTAATTAATTTTAAAATAATGTAATAAATAAAAGAAAGAATATACTAATTTCACATGTTATGGGAACATTTTATGAATTTTGCAACCTTTTTTTCCTTTTCATTTGTTTATTGCCAACAAACGTACTCATATAAAATCATATCTGTAACTACAAATATAAAATCCATATAGTATAATTTATATCATTAAATGCAATTAATTAAGATTTTTAGGTAAGATAAAAATGTCGGTAGATACGCCGCTGCTCTACTACTTGAGCTATCGTGACCTTGATCCACTCGGACACTAACTTCCCACCTCAACTCCACCTTTTGAATTTTCCCTCCTTTTTGCCATTTTCAAATGTGGTGTAATCCATTTGATTCTCGGCGACAAATGAAATGACCACGGAGAGCTTTAGTGAAGTATACTTCTTTTTAACTTATTAAATTCACTAGTTTTCGTGGTCCGCTTTACCAATTAATATCTTTCAATTAATTAATATTAATGGAAACTGGGCAAATAGGAGGGAAAATTCAAAGGTGGAGTTGAGATGGGAAGTTACTGTCCGAGTGGATCGAAGTCACGATAGCTCAGGTAGAGTAGCGGCGTATCTAGTCGAAGGTCGTGGGTTCGAATCCCTCTCGTGACACTGATTTTTTTTATCTCAACTAAAAACCTTAATTAGTTGAAAAACCCTTCATAATGTTGATACCAAATATAATTGGTAAAATTTCTCTCATTTTGAGAAGTATTAGTACAAAAATGTTTTTCTTCAAATCGAAGTTAATTTGCGACGAAGTAAATTGAACTTACCATTTCTAGCGGAACATCAAAGCTAAGTCCCAGAGCTTAAATCCATAATCGAAGAGATTAAAGAGTGCCAAAGTCGTAAGAAATATGTTATAAAAATGCTAGACTATATTATGTCTTCGACAGAAGAAAGTTACGATCCGTTGTTCCCAAATGGCTACATGATGTAATATTTATATATTATCAATTTTATTAATTGGACCTCTTGGAATTTCAAGAAATACCAATAAAATCACAGAGCATTTTTTTCCCGGGATGAAGTTTTTTGTAGTTGACAATGCTTGCAATGTACAAGTTCCAAAGTTGGTTAAAAATTACATCAAGGGAAAATGTCAAGCTTTTGTTCAAAACAGGCCTTGCGAACACTTCGTTGATTTTGCAAACGCGCTCACTAAAAGTTTCGGCTACAAATTCATTTTCATAGGAGACGACAACTTTTAACGCTTCACGATTGCATTGATGAACTAAGAACCATGTAATGTTATTTTCACGGAGTCCCTAGATCCCTCTTACTCTGTAAGGTTGCAAAATTGATTAATGCATAAATTTTGTTTGTTTGGTATATAAACAACCCTGGTGGGGACCTTCTTCCCCGAGGTGTGATACGAAAAGGGGGGAGAAAGGCATTAAGTGGTTGGAGACGCTGTCGTCAAGAACGGTGAGTCTATTCCTTTATTTTCTTTAATTCGTAATAATCAGCCCAAAGCGGCCTCAAGTTTTGCAACCTTAAATGGCGAGATCTCGGACGGATTGGACCCGGGTCCTTACTTTTCCTTTCTGTACGTGACCAGGGGCCCCAAATCCTTGGTTAAGAAGCTAGGTATGCGACCTGGGATGGCTTGGACTCAGGTCGTAGCTGATTTGGATGTCTACAAGGCTTAGGATTGAGTGGACTAAGAATCCTTATTTAAGAGGCTGTGTATGCAACCTAGGATGACCTGGAGGCGAAATTACATCCCGGCCACCAACTCACTCGTCTACGGGCAATGTCGACAATAGAACTAAACCACGTCTGGAGAAGTTTAATTATTAAAATTTACATCAAGTATATACAACCAGCTTTTTATGCGAGAACTAAGTTGTGAGGAAATCAAAAGGAGTAAAAAAATTGGCACCTATTGAAGACAGACTAAACAAGAAAATGCTATAGGGATAAGGATTAAATTTTGGAAGATGTTGTTTCATTACGAATTCGGAAGAAAAAGCTGAAAATGAAAAACATCGGTTCCTGTATTGTTAAAGTGTTGCCAGTCATCGTAGCTAGTGATAATGAATTTCACTGTTAACCACAATGAACTCTAAGCGCCTTTCTTTTCCTGATTGCCGCATGACTCTCAGCTATTGATATAGTTTACCCTTCGCTGTACTATTGTAAATTGATTGCGTAAACTTAGTTGTGCTCGGCAAACGGATCAATTAAGTCTTTTTCAATGGCATATAACATGCAAGGGTGATTCATAATAGCTCCTGATGATTACTCTTAAGCCTAAAGCCACTGAAAAGTATAATCATACTTTTTCCCCTGCGTGCTACTGGCAATATTGTAAAAACGTACTATAATGTCAGAAAAAACAATTGACATGTTGTAAACTGTAGGTTTTACGAATTCAAAACACATTTTTCTTAATTCCCATTTTCTAGCTGGTCCGTCTTTGTTACGAAGATCGTGTACGTTTCATCTGTCACAGAATTTAAACGGAATCAAATGTACAATGTATTTAGTGGTATCGGGGATGTGGTCTAATGAATGATCTGTGTTAAAACTATGCCGAACTGTCCCAATTTCTTTTTTTTTATTAAATAAAACACAGAAAGCTTGGGATAGTTTCAACTCACAACAATTATTGGACCACATCCTTGACCTCACCAAATGCGTTGTGATTAGTAGCCGGTCCATCCCTACATGGGAATCAAATATAACCCCTTAGGATTTTTTTTCAAAGTAATTAATTAGCACACAAAAACAGTCGTTCAATTCATATAGAACCGATATCATAAGCTTCCACGTCTTACAAGTCGATGTAAGCTGGAGTAAATGGTTTCATCACTGAAGATGAACACTCTGGCGAGCCTCTGATAAGTTTGAAGTTCGATAGCTTCCCGCAATAAGACGTATAAATCGGAAGATTCTCTGTAGATCTTTAAAATTCTGTACATTATTCAGAAATCGAAAGATGCGGTCTGGTGTGATGTAGGTTTCCGAAAAACATTTTCTTTATCGTGCCATCGTTTCGATCTTTATTGAGAACATCTTCAGGGCCTGGGATTTACAAACATTGTTTACATTTAATAAATACATTTAGGATGTGGAAAAAGTGAATTTATACAATGCAAAAAAATATATTTTTTATATTCAATCAAAGTATTTCTACTCACTCAAAGTATTTGTTTTCTACGCAATTGTGCCATTCTTGCGTGTCGTGTTGAGAGTGCCAGTGTGATATTGCTGTTTTATGTTTATATACTTTGGATTTTGAAGGGGTGGGGAAGGAAGTCGGTGTAGAAAAGACATTTTTGTATAAGGCGTTGCCTTCTTTGAGGTGCAAAGAGCCGATGAAGGGAAACAATGTGTTGGTAATGGTTCGGCCAGATTATCCTTTCACGATTATATAGAAAGGGATAAATAGGAAAAGGAAAGCTAATTTGTTGGACAAATAGACTATGTGAAAAATATTTGATGTGTGGAATGTAATGTAATTATATATGTATGTTATCTATCTGTAAACAATGTTTGTAAATCTCAGGCCCTGAAGATGATCTCAATAAAGATCGAAACGTTGGCACGATAAAGAAAATGTTTTCTGAAACCTACATCACACCAGACCGCATCTCACGATTTCTGAATAATTATCGATTAACGGTCACTAATCACCACATATTCTGTACATTATTTAATTTTTCTTATTTTATGATTTCAAAAGTCAGTGTCAC